TATCCTGACATTCTGTAAAATGTACAACAATGCTTTTAAACAGGGAAGAATAGGCTGAATGCTGGGTCATCTGAAAACTTGCTTGAAGTTTTCTGGGGTCTGTTACTTAGCAAGTCTTCTGTATTGTTTAGCACAGTATTGTCATGGTCCTTCTCTAAGCTCGTAGGTGCAAAAGCAGTTGTAGTGTCGGTCAGGCTGTGAAGAGCACAGTACAGACCCTACTGTATTATACTTGCAAAGAAAAGTAAAATGTGACAAATAGGAATACACTTTAAAATGGAAAATCGTACCACCAGCAAAGACTTGAGAGAGCTTTTGGCTGCTAAAAATATATGCACATTCTTCTCCCAACTCGTAAGAAATAACGGTATGGGAAATTTGCACAAATACAGTTCCAAAAAGGAAAAAGAGAATCCTTCATTAGCAGAAATATAGAAGATCCTGAATCCTCTCATATTACAGCTTGACCCAACCCTATTCAATAATGAAAACAGTTTACATCAAGAGGGAGAGGTAGATTTGTCTTTCTGATAAGGGGTAACTTTATAATTGAAGGTACAACTAATAAAATGTGTGTTTTGCAGAAGCAAAAATGACAGTCACAGCTTGAGACTTTTCCTGGCATAACTAGGCTACAAGATAAAGCATTATACTCCTTACTTTTGCAATCTACAATGAAAGTAGCCATCAATTCTTGGATATGTTCTGTATTGCAATCATAGTAGTGTTAGCTGCTAGGACCATAAAAACTGTTAAGGGATATGAAAACACTTAAGCTATAAAAAGCATATTTGTATGATTCTGATCAAAACACAATGTGCTTCAATAAAAAGAAAATGCAATTTAATTTTCTCCTGTCAGTGATAATGTGCTCCATGGCTTTTGTTTCCTGCATGGGAAGGAGGAACAGCAGAGAACAGAGGCTGAACAGGTGTTTTTCCTGCAGCTGAACCCACAATAGGCAGACTTTGAACAAGTCTTCCTGGACATAGAATTTTGCCTGAACAGAGAGAGTTGCAAGGTCAGAGCCAAGCATGAAAAATATCTCCCCTTCAAATTAAAGCTTTTATGTGCACGTATAGTGTTGTTCAGTGCAGTGCTGGATATTCCTAACAACTTGTTTGGCTACCAAAGTGAATGGGATTACTTTTAAGATACATATCTGGAAGTAGAATCAGACATTAAAGAAAGTAAGTTGGGTTGGTTTGTTCTAATAAGAAAAACAGAACTGAAAAAAGTATTCCTAGTAGAAATGCAGTGAAAGTGTTTTATGCGGTAAGTCCAGCATTCCAAGATTGAATCTTTAGTCTTTATTTTTTTCCAGTGAACATATGCATGATCCAGTAATAACAAAAGTTAGCAGAAACATTTTTAGTAAAACCTCATTAATCAAGGCAATCTGATATAGTATACCTGATATTCATTATATTTAATGAGAAATCACTGAGCATATGTGCTCATTAGTGCCTTCAGTATTGGACAGCTCTGTGAGAGGTCCTTGTCTAAGCCCCATTTCAGTTACTGTACATTTAACGAGCTCCACGAGTAGCTCTGGGCTAACTGCTTCCTGTTCCTCAGGCACTGGCGGTGCGTCTCAAATGTTAT